ATGATAGTATCTAATATTTCACTTATATGATCGGCTGTATAGGGATATTTAACATATTTTATAGTTAGAACAAATTCGTATAGCTTATAGTCATTATTAATAAATGAACAAGTAACACCAAGATAGCCACGATAGCTATGGGCTATCCAGAAATCTATATACAATGATACTGAAACAGTTTCATTAATTAATTTTTCTTTGAGGAGAGTAAACTATAATCATATGCTATAAAAATTAATTTTTTGATAGTCTTCTCGCATGGTATTAAAAAAGCGAGATCTAGATCTCTAATAAATTTCTGAAATGCTTTGCTAGTTACAATATAAATGGGCTGTGAATCTTTTATAATCCACGTTGTAAGTGACTGTCTTAATTGAATTTGCTATTCTTCAGTATGTTGTTTATTTGATATAACTTGCTTATTATTCTAAATTAAAATTTTTTGATTAATTAAAATATTATGTATTAACTAATATAGTAATTTATTTAATTACAAACTTTAGTATTTCTATTTTTGTTAATTTTATATATGTTCTGGAGATGATTAATCATGTTTCCTGTCATCTGCTTGTATAGACATATGATATACCACATATAGTATTATCTTTTTTCTTTATTTAACAAATGATTACTGTAATTTCTTTACCATCATTGTCTCGAACTTTAGTTTCTTCGAAATACTTCCAAATCAAACTAGTCTTTGTGTGCTTCTCACTTTGGGTTTTTTGTTTTTTGTTTGAAGATTTAATAGATTTAATTGAATTAGATAAATTTTTAGAATGCTTTGCTATTATTTTTTTAAAAAATTAATAATAAGACTTAAAAATTCCAAAACTAATGAATGATACACATATATATATTTATTTTAACAATTATAATTTAAAATTTATTATGATCATTTATAATTTATATTTAGACTAAAAGAATCGATAGCCAATAGTACTTTATTGCTTTTATGACCTTAATGATATTACATATGATTAAATACTACTCATTTCTCAGGATGGCAGGAATAATGAATATCTCTATAATTATGTTTTATATCCTATATGCGCGCTATTTGCAAAATATTTACATTATTACGTTTTTTAAAATTAACAGGAATAATACAGTAATTTAAGTCTGGATATTAAGAATTAAGTTTAAATAGGAAGGTATGTACATATATTAATATATATCTGGGTTTAAATATACAAAAATTAAATGTTAAAATTATCAGGAACATACAGTAATTTAAGTCTGGATATTGAATTTAAATAAGCAGGTACGTACATATATTAATAATCAGGTTTAATATTAAAATTATCAGGGATAATACAGTAATTTAAGTCTGGATACATATTAATATCCAGGTTTAAATAGGCAGGTATGTACTTATATTAATATCCAGGTCTAAATATACAGAAATTAAATGTTAAAATTATCAGGAACATACAGTAATTTAAGTCTGAATTTTGAGTTTAAATAAGCAGATATGTACATATATTAATAATTAGGTTTAATGTTAAAATTATCAGGGATAATACAGTAATTTAAATCTGGATACGTATTAATATCCAGGTTTAAATAGGCAGATATATACTTATATTAATATCCAGGTCTAAATATGCAGAAATTAAGTGTTAAAACAACAGGGATAATAATTAAGTCTGGATATTAATATTCGAGATACATATATAAAAACTAGCAGGGATAATTAAATCTGAATATTAATATTTAGGTTTAAATAGGCAGGTACTTACATATACGTATTCATATCTGGGTTTTAAAACTAATGAGATAATAATTAAGTCTGGATATTTAATATTTAGATTTAAATAGGTATGTATATACATACTATATATACATATGTTAATATCTAGGTTTAAATATGCAAAGATTAAATGCTGAAATTAACAGAAATAATACAGTAACAACAATCATAGCTAGCATTACGTGCAAAAAAAAAGACAGTACTTTATCCCACCCCCGCTACATTCCAGACAATAAAATAAAAAAAAAGATGTCATCATGACCCTGACAAATATAATTATTTTTGTGTGGGTTTGCTAGTTCAAGAGTTATTGCAGCTTGATCTTTCTATATTTTTACTATTAAATTAATGCTGATCTATAGTACACTACATATAAAAAATCTTGATTAGTGATCTTTAT